AAATTCGCTCAGAACGGAGCAGTAGGTTGAGCGAAGGAAGATACACAGGGCCAACAACCAGCGAAGAAGGTGAAACGCTTCACTGCAACACGCGCGATTGCCTTTCATGACAATCTGTCGGCGCAACCCCTCAAACAAATCTGAGCCCCACCCTGCGCACCGCAGCACCCAAGATGCGCTCGAGGTGAGTTTGCACCATGTTCAGTCAGGGAGGTACTAAGTACGGAAAGACAGGGTCCAGCTGTCAGCTTAACCACTGGCTATCTGTCGCGCCCATGTCTGGCACATGGTGAGACGGCTTTCATTGCAAGTTAACTGCAAAATAGTTAGACCTACTTTCGGTTACTGGGTCGTCATTCGCCAGTGTCATCTATGCTAGCAGGATGCGAAGTATGGAGGTCTAGAAACCAGAAATTCCTGTAAGATTTCACTGAGTACGATAACGGCGTTGTGACGTGTTGAACAGGAGCGCCTTTTTAAATTGTGTTTCTTATCATCGCAGTTTTGCGAGCTGGACTTTCGTGAAAAAATACTTACGGACCTAACTTATATTATTTCCATTGACTTCACTCGGGAGAACGTTATTCTGTAGCTTGTTAGGAGAGTTTAGTAGTGTATATTGCGTGTAAACTTTGTGCTCTTTTCCAGCCTTATTATTCTTAGTGTCTAAGCGCTGGGCAACCTTTTGTGCTCCCTTTGAGACAGTGGCTCTGATTGCAAGGTCTCTGAAAAACCACATTCACCATAGTCTTAGTGTTAATTCTACTTACCTGTATATCGTTTAAAAATTTCAGGAAGCATCCGAGTTTTTCCGGTATTTGCGAGACAACCTCTCGGATCGGTACAGTCTCGAGGGCGCGACAGATCTTAGCGTAGAAGCTCTGACGGCCTTCTCTCTGATTATGCAAGCGCAAGGAGAAGAACTATCCGTCGTCAAGAAGGCAACCGGTATCAACTTCCTGTTTTTGCTTAACCTGTGAACACTTATTTTCGAGTTTTGCTTTCCTCGCATGGTTTATGGCTGTGGTGGACCCTTCTCTCTCCATGTGTCATTATCTGTACCGGCTGCCCTGTCGTTAGTGGGCTTGGAGCATGCCTCATGGTGGGCTCATTTTTTCTTCTGCTACCCATGACTTGGTGTTGGTTAATTTCTAGCCACCAACGTTGCACATAATAGACTTTGGGGTTCAGAAGGGACTGACGTAGATGTTGGATAATATTTGAACAGTTCTCCACTTGGCCTCCAAATTCGGTTTCAATGACGACACGGTTGGCTGTTCAGAATGTTGATAAGGATTTACATAGAGTACCATCCTAGTGCATGTTGAAATCACGTACGTTGTCGTGTGTAGTGTGGCGGGCACTTGTCGCATCACGGGACGTACTCGCTCCGTTGTGTTATGGGACACTCTCAAGCCAATCCACCAGCCGTACCGCTGTTAGTGATATAGCCAGAGGGACATTAACGACAAAGACAAAGGAGACTGGAATGACCATTTCCGGCTGTTTAGTTTTCACTATCCAGTCAGACTCAACCCTGGGTTTTTGCCTCTCAAACTCGCGACTCAATGGTAAGGGCGTTGGAGTTCTATCCAACAGGTCAGGGAGTTTAGAGCCTCAGTTTTGTAACACCTTGGATGGGATATGGCTGACTGATGACTGCTTATAAGCCAGAAATGGCCACTCTAGTCTCGTTTGTTTTTGTTGACAATGTCGTAATTTGTCACTCTCGCGCTACTTATCTCAGTTTTTGTCTATTTGGTTCTATTCTATCCGTCTTATAGAAGGCATCTAAGACAACGATGATAGAAAACCTCCATCTGTTCTATCTATTGAAGACGTTCACATCTGTGCGAGCATGCAGTTCTTACAAATGTATACATTTTACGAGGGCTCTGTCAGTCTTCCTCAAGTCATATTGAGAATATTGGGAAAACAAGGTCAACTCCGGTCAGTCTTCTCCGTCGGATGTTTAGGCCTACTTTACTATGACTTACTACTTTAAGCGATCTTTTATATGTGGCGCCGGGGGCTTCGTTGGAACCAATTTTTATTGTTACTGTAATAAAAAAAACTAATGAACAGACAGGATTCCCCGTCTTCGGCTTTTGTTTTTGTGGAATGTTTGGTCCGTCCTCCACCAGGAGCTGATGCTCTACTGAACCTCCATCGCTGTTAAGCAGGAATTTATAATTCACAAGAACTTTATATGGAGGCGGATGTTGGAATTCCGTGATGTATGCGTGAGTAGGATAGAAGTTCTTTTTGTTAAATTTAATAAGGTTGTTTCTTGCAGTTTCTTTGGGAGGTCCTCTAGTAATCGTCCACCGCAAGCTACGAGTACCATCGCTGTTCTGGATTAGGTGCGGTGACATCGTGCGCTTCCAATGATGTCTGAGAAAGTAAACGTGCACAGGCGCTTTGTGATCGCTTACTAGCGCATTTTAAAGGTAGTGCGATTCGTCTTAGTCCACAACGGACACTAGCGCTTTCGATGAGTATTTTCATGTAATAGGAAGAATAAACACTGTGAAAGTTCTTATACCTCCTGAAGATTGGCGTT